CACCTCTCGCTTTAACTTACCCAGTTTTGATTTCACTCATCCTTTGGAGACTTTGAAGTATGAAGATGCCAAGTCCCTTCTCATTCAATGCGTGTTCCCGCCTCATCACACATCTACATATGATTATGAACTTCTTTTCCAAAAGGTATTGTTGAACAGATTTTTCTACTAACAAGTTTAGATTCCTCTTTTTATCTTCTTGATCAAACGGTGGAGGATTGATTGTATTGCAGATATTGGAACGTTGCAATGGATTCCCAATCGTGATTGACGTATTGGGGGGTTCACTCAAACGACAACCCTTATCTTCATGGGAAGGACAAGTAGAAATCTGGTCTCAAGGGAAAACAATTCTTAGTAATCCTCCTACTGTGCTAGAATGTCTGCAGCCCAGCTTCATTGCCCTGGAACCTAATCTTAAAGAGTGTTTCATGGACATGGGCTCATTTCTTGAGGACCAAAAGATTAACGCTTCGGTATTACTTGACATATGGGTGGAACTATACGGTAGTAGTAGTAACGTGTACATCAAGTACCTCAATGACCTTGCTTCCCAGAACCTGCTTAAACTTATTACTCTCGGGTATGTTGTTATTATACCTCGACATTGTGTGTCTTTGCCATCCACCATTTTGATGATCTTTCTTTATTTACTTTTACTAGGGGGAATAAGCTCGAAGATGGTTTCTACAATGAGTTGTTAGTCACTCAACATGATGTCCTGAGGGAGCTGGCTATCCATCAAAGCGAATTGGAACCAGTCCTCGAAAGAAAAAGACTTAGCTTGGTAATAAGAGGAAATAAATATCCAGACTGGTGCTTGAATCTAAGGGAGACTAGTATTAATGCCCGCTTCTTGTCTATCTCTACAGGTAATCCTTTCAGGTCCAAAGGAATGTAGAGATTATATTCAGTGTTTGTACAATGAGCTCTTTTTTTTTTTTGTATTTTTACAGATGATTTGTTCTCATCGAGTTGGGTGGAAATGGATTTATTCCATTTCTCTAATGTTGAGGCTTTACTTCTTAACATATCTTCATCAAGCTATGCATTACCAAGCTTCATTGCTACAATGAAGAAACTCGAGGTTTTGATTATCATAAATCACGGTCCTGTTTCTGCAAGACTGACCAAATTGTCATGTCTCAGCTCGTTACCTAACCTGAAACGGATCAGATTGGAGAAAGTTTCAGTCACGTTGCTGGACATTGTCCAGTTGCAACTCGACAGTCTCAACAAGTTGTCTTTGGTCATGTGTAGTTTTGGTGAAGTGTTCGGCAATGTTGAAGAAATAGATGTCTCTAAAGCTCTGCCTAGTTTACAGGAGATAGACTTAGATTATTGCTATGATCTTGATGAGTTACCGTATTGGATCTGTGGGGTTGTTTCATTGAAGTCACTTAGCATCACAAATTGTAACAAGATCTCTTTACTTCCTGACGCTATAGGCAACTTTGAGAAAACTAGAAGTGTTGAGGGTGAGTTCTTGCATTAAACTCTCTGAGCTGCCTGAAACTACTTATAAACTCGGCAACTTGCGGTTTCTGGATATATCTCATTGCTTTGGATTGAGAAAGTTGCCTTTAGAGATTGGGAAGCTGCAGAAGCTGAAGGAGATCTCGATGAGGAAGTGTTGGAGATGTGAGTTGCCAGATTCAGTGACGGATCTAAAGGATCTGGTTGTGAAATGTGAGGAAGAAACTAGCTCGGTCTTGTGGGAAAGGTTGATGCCAAAAATGACAAACTTGACAGTTCATGAGGAGGAAACAGAGCACAACCTCAACTTGCTTCAAATGTTTTAAGTTATGAGTGGAATAACATTTTTCATAGCTTGTTTCTGTCTTGTAATGTTGTTATTCTCATCATCCATATGTAACTAGAAAATGTTATTTCCCAGTACCTATTTGATTAGAGTTTTTCTCCAATTATCATGCCACAATGTTATATTTCCAAGATTGTTTATGGTATGGTGAATGCAACCATTTTCTTATAACTAATGTTTAGTTAAGATATACATTTAGATAAATTTTACGATAGTAGTTTATGAAATAAAACAAATTTGGATTGAGCACATGCCACACTTCGTCATGCTCTAGATCCGCCCATATGTATATATATGACATTCACAATACACATTTGATTAGATTTTATTTTCAGTATCATGCCACAATGATATATATATTTTCAATTATCATGCCACAAGATTTTCGTGTACATCAATGTGATGAAAAAACATGTTCGTGGCTTGTTTGTGTCTTGTAAAGTTGTTAATCTCATCATTCACATGGAGCTAAACACAATGATGCATGCTTCTGTTTTTGTTATTAAAACTACAGTACATATTTGATTAGTTTTTTTTTTACTGTTTATCAACTTTATAGATTTACTTCCATTCGACAATTTAATTTCAATACTTTAAAAAGGTTAAATTTTCTGGTTCCTTCGGATTTAAAATTGATAGTGTTTGAATTTGAAGCCAAAAATCAATATATATTTTGTTCAACAACATATTTTTTTCCAATTATCACCACAAGATTTTCGTGTACGTTAGTCTGTTTTGAAAACATTCAACAGTATTCAATCGATGTTGATCCTTACCTAAATTTAATAGACTTGAAAAGAGTAATTGACCATAATTTTGTACAAACTATAATAGTCAGATCCAACCGTGTTCATTTAATCCTAAACTATCTTTGTAAATTCTTCGAAAATCATGAAATAGTGAAGTAAAAACAGCTTTGACGTAATTTTTTCTTCTTAAAATAAATAGATTATTTGTTGCTTTTTTCCTAAAGAATCATATCACTATTCTGTCAATAACTCATTTCTTTGATTGTTACCTAGCTTTTTAATCGCATTTTTCTCAATTCAATCAATAAACATTGTTGACCCTTCTCTGGCTTTGCGGGTTTGACAAGTCACATTATACCCATTCTATGTAATTTCCCCTAAAGACACTTCTATGTCCTTTATAAATATTCATAATTCATCTAATGGGATAATAAAGTCTCTAGAATTCAAATAAAGAAACTATCAAAAGAGAAAATTTCCCTGTGTTTCTGCATTCAATATCAAGTTCATAAAAATCCTTTCCGTCCATAGGAACCATTATGGATTCGATGCAAAGCTTCGATGCCTTGCCTCACAAGCTTAGAGAGTGTTTCTTGGACATGGGCTCGTTTCGTAAAGGCCAAAAGATAATTGCTTCCTCAGTGATTGATGTATGGTTTGGATTATACGGTAAAGAGAATAATATCTGCATGAATTACCTCCAAGAACTTGCCTCCCATAATCTTGTCAAACTTCTTCCTCTTGGGTATGTTACTTTCTATTCATCCACCAAACTCTTTATCTTACCTCTTGGATATGTTATTTCTATTCATTAAGCAATTCTAGTCTTAAGCTGTAAAACCTAGAAAAAAACCCTAAGTGACATCCTAAAATCCCAATTCCAAAAGTCCAAACCATTTAACCCCAGTACCAAAATATTAATTTGTAATCGCTCTTTCCTTGAAGCTTCTTATTCTCAATTTATATATGCTTTGATATTAGGAAAAATAAGTATGAAGATGGTTTCTTCAATGAGTTCTTGGTCAAACAAGACAGCACGTTAAGAGAATTTTCTATACATCAATGGGAAAAAGAGTCGTTACCGATCCTCCAAAGGAAAAGAATAAACTTGGATATACAAGAGAATATATTCCCAAACTGGTGTTTAAATCTAAACCAGCATGTTACTTTGAACGCCTCTATACTCTCTATCTCAACTGGTAATACAATTATTATTTTTTGCTCTGTTTCACACTCTCTGATAATATTATATATGTAACTTAACGTGGTTCATCTTTTTCAGATGATTCATTTACATCATGTTGGGTTGAAATGCACTGTCCAAATGTTGAAGTTTTACTTCTTAATCTCTCTTCATCAAGTTATGCATTACCAAACTTCATTACTACAATGAAGAAACTGAAAGTTGTCATGATCATAAATCACGGTCTTGAACTTGCAAAGTTGAGAAATTTGTCTTGTCTCAGCTTATTACCGAACCTTAGACGAATCAGATTCGAGAAAGTTTCAATCACTTTGCTTGACATTCCCAAACTTCAACTAAATAGCCTTGAGAAGCTATCTCTTTGGTTGTGTCACGTCAATGATGCTCTCAACGAGTTAGGAGACTTAGAAATTGATGTTTCCGAAACCCTACAGAGTTTACAAGAAATTGAAATAGATTATTGTTATAATCTTGTTGAATTACCACATTGGGTATCTCAAGTTGTTTCACTTAAGAAGCTTAGCATCACGAACTGTAACAAGCTATGTAAACTCTTGGAAGGTATAGGCAACTTAAGGAACCTTGAAATGCTGAGAGTTATTTCTTGTAGCAATCTCTTTGAGCTTCCTAAAACAAGCGAGATTCTCAACAATTTGAGGTTGCTAGATGTTTCTGGATGCTTCCAACTAAAAAGGTTGCCTTTAGAGATTGGAAATTTGCAAAAACTGAAGAAGATTTCGATGAGAGATTGTTATAGATGCGAGTTGCCAGATTCAGTTAAGAACCTAGAGGAGCTAGAGGTGCGATGCGACGAAGGGACAGTATTCATATGGGAAAGACTCAAACAAAAAATGAAGAATCTGACAATCATAGAAGAGGAAACAGAACATAACCTCAACTTGCTTCAACTGTTCTAAATGTAATTTGTGTGTGTGATATCTTGCAACTTTGTAACATTTGGAAGTATATGATATACATATATGATATTTTGCTAGTATGTGACTTTGGATACAAAAGTTGATAGCAATTTTGATGCATGACATTTCTGATTTTCTGGAAACTAATATAGCAGCTTTAACTCCATGAATAGATAGCCTTTATATTATTTTATAGGACCCAGATCATGTAAAGAGAACAAGGACCATAGAAACTTAACTAAAAGTTGTCGATTAGAATTTGAAAAAAAAAAAAGCAAAATAAAAATCAAGACACATTCATTCTATCATCAAAGCGTTACAGAAAGAACCTTAACAATCTCAGTTCCCGCAAGGACTGAATGCACACCATCATACCACTCAAGTTTGCCCCAACAATCTCCATTGCGTCTTTCAAGAGCTATCTCGGCACAATATATGGTCTCCTCCTGAGACAAGTGAATATTAAAATTTATATTCCAGAAAAGCATCATCTTTCCACCACCATAACCAGTCAATTTAACATAAGCACCATAACTAGGCAACTTAGGTAGCCCTACCAAACCCTTCAAATCTCTCCACCTTGTCTTGTCGGTGTCATACCATCTCAGAGCTCCTTCTTTAGAAACAGAGTACAAAACATTGTCTATCTCGCAGTAAGAACCTGAAAACATACTTTCACAGACACGTGGATATTGTTCAACTAGGTCCCATCTACCTTGCTTTGAATTGAAAGCAAACACCTTACCAAATATATCTATCGCGTGGATATTTCCGTCAATATTAAAAGTGTGTCTGGCTAGGTCCAATACACACCAAGGGATATCATCCCAAGTTTGCGTACTTGTGTTGAATACCTGGAGCAAGCTCTTCCAGGAACCATCTTGATTATGGTAGCGTCGTCCTAGTACATATATCTTTTGATCAAGGACCCTGGCAGAAATTGACTCTACCTCCACTGGCATGCTTGGAGCCTTACGCCACCTGTGAGTCTTGCAATCAAGAATCGAGACCCCGGTTTTATCAGCAGCTTGCCCAATGTTGTAGATATCAGAACCAACAGCCACAATATCTGAAATACCAGAACCCACCGCACAAGGAGAATCATCACCATCACCGGGGGGCATTATTGAGACTTTACCCAAAACATAGCCACTGCCGCGGCCACTTGAACTACTCTTACTCTTGGAGGAGAGGGTGTACCACTTATGAGAACTGAACCCGAACCTCATGCACACATAGAGACAACTCTCCGTTAGGCCCAAGTCTGACCTGACCCTGTAAAGTTCAGTTGAAGCCACCATAGATTGAAAGCTCTTGGAGACTAGTGACAGATTCCGATAGTATAGTATTGGAACGCGTGCCACGATCATCACTAGCAAATCATAGGGAAGTGATAAGACTTCATCGGATGTGTTTGTGGTTGCCTTCTTTTTCTTCTTCGCCGCCCTAGTACTCCTACTTGTCTTCCTCTTCCTTTGTGGGAAGTGCGGCTGGAGGAGTTGCGTTTGTGGGAAATGCTGCTGCTGGAGTTGCGTTTGTGGGAAGTGCAGCTGCTGGAGTTGCATTTGTGGTAACTGCGGCTGGAGTTGCCTTTGTGGGAAGTGCGGCTGCTGGAGTTGCGTTTGTGGGAAGTGCGGCTGCTGGAGTTGCGTTTGTGGGAAGTGCGGCTGCTGGAGTTGCATTTGTGGTAACTGTAGCTGCTGGAGGAATTGCGTTTGTGAGAAGTGCGGCTGCTGGAGTTGCATTTGTGGTAACTGCAGCTGCTGGAGGAGTTGCGTTTGTGAGAAGTGCGGCTGCTGGAGTTGCATTTGTGGTAACTGCGGCTGCTGGAGTTGCATTTGTGGTAACTGCGGCGGTTGGAGTCGTTTCATGAGAAAATCCACCTCTTGTTGAAGCTGTAGGAGCTGTTGTTGTTGTCGTGAGATTAAACCGGCGGAACCATAAACCGGGTCTTCCCTTCTAGCTTTGGCTTGGAAGACAAGAGAGTTAACCTCGGCTTCTCTCTGGTTAAAGGGTAGCTTGGTCAGACATTTACTGACGTAGCGTGATCCAAAAACGCTGTGAAGGCATGAAAACTTGTCAATTTGATCTGAGGGGAAGAATGGTGCAAATACACAGTCGTCCTTGCATTTTCTCCTAATGAGCTTGCATGCTCCGCATCGAGTAGCCATCTCTCTGGAAAGAAGAGAAAATTCAGTTCCTTTTAGAGTTAAATCAAAAACGTTTCTTCAATTAAGAAAGATTCAGTTCGATCCTTTAGGGTATAATGAAGAAATCTACTAACTTAAAAACATCAGAGTTAAATAAAACAATTTGTTGAAGTAAGAAAGATTCAGTTCTTCTAGGGTATAACGAAAGAAGATCTATCTACAGACTCCATCAGACTTACCTCTCTGAGCTAGCGTCCTTGTAGTCGCGATCAGGTTCTAGGGTTTCTAATTGATCTCCGTTGCCTTAAGCTCCAAGTTGATATGGATCTTTTATAGTAGCGTTCTTGTAATTGATCTGATCTTTTATAGTAGCGAAAGCTAATTATCATGGCCCATTTAAAGCCCAATAATAAATTGGATAATACCATAAAAAAGCCCACAACGCTAAAACCCCTGCCTGCCTTCCTGAATTTGACGGAGTTAAACCCTATCGTCATTCACTCCAAACAGAGATGGCGAAATGGTGTCGTGGCCTGAGATCCGTGGCGTCATCTTCATTCAATCAAACGATTCGGTGTTTGCATCATTACGAGACGATCCAGGCGATACCACGAGAAGCTACTGGCCGGAGAGTATCTGCTCGTGATCGGACAATTGGCCGGATCCCCGCCGTGGTTTTTCCCCAATCGCCGGATGCTTCGCCTTCGAGGAAGCAGCTTTTGACGGCTGATAGGAAGCAGATTAAGTCGATTCTCGACTCGGTGGGTCTCCCTTTCTTCTGTTCGACCAAATTCAAGCTCCAGATCCGAGCCGGGCTGGGCTCGGAGTCGCTACTTGAATCGGGCCAAGTACTTCCCCTCAAGGTGGATGGTATTTGTGATTACGAATACAGTAGAAATAGATAAATTAATATCTCTATAAATTAAAAAAAAAAGTTTTTTTTTGGTGTAGTGCCAAACATTATTAATTTATAGAAGTTTCATTGTATTGTGAAATGAGATTGCTGCTGTTGATTGGGATTGAAATGAGTGTTTTTCGGGGTTATATTTCAATTGTAGATTCATAGAGATGAAGAAAGTGGGAAGATACTTAATTTAGTATTCGTATGGGCTAATGATGGAGAGCACTTGAAGGTTGATGTTCCTCTTCTTTTCAAAGGATTAGATATTTGTCCCGGTCTCAAGAAAGGTATCATTACTCTTTACGAACTCATAATTGTGTATTGTGTATTGGTGTTGATGTTTTCTCTTTTGATTGTGATATCATCATATCAATGCAACGAGTTGCTTCAACTATGATTTAGATTATATTCAATTTGTTTGTGGTTTCAGGAAGGAAAATTTTGAATGTGTTGACAGTTGCTTGATGTATATTGTTACTGTTTGGCTATCTTTGATAATTGAGTATGTTTGTTTTGCTGTGAGCAGGGGGAAATCTACAGTCAATGCGAAGTAGTCTGAAACTTGTAGGCCGAGCTGAACACATGCCATCTAAAATCGAAGTAGATGTGAGCAAACTCGACATTGAGGACAAAGTGTTAGTGCAAGAAGTTGTATTTCATCCATCGTTGAAGCTGTTGAGCAAGAATGAAACCTTGCCTGTTTGTAAGATTACAGCCACAAGCCCGGTTAAGGAATCAGAAGCTGTTCAAGTATAAAGTAAGTCTTTGGAAAAGTCACAATTGGGAAACTTTATTAAAAGGAAAGAAGCAATTTTCGTAGCATAGCTCTTTGTTTTTCTTGTATAAGCCTTTTGAAGTGAGAGAACCCTTAAACCTCTTGTTGTTTTGGAGTTTTTGAACTAAAGCAAATTCAGTTCAATTTGCTAATCATGTTTCTGTATATGCATCTTCTTATATGTTACTTAACTAGTATCTTAGATGGATTGTTTTTTTGCTATTAGAGGGGATTAGAAGATTTAAGGGGTCGTTTAAGACTGAAATCGTGGCCAGCGACTTGATCCATATTAGCAGTGGGAACTGGGACCTAAGACTTAACATGTGTCGTGTGTTGTGACCAGAAGATGTAGCCTACTTATTCTTTGATTTCCTATGACCGTTCACTCCGTCGGAATCATCCGTGGCTTGATCTCGATGTAGTATAGTGTCTGAACTATTGTTGGAATTTCGTAACATAGTCTTAGTTATAATTCATGACCAAGTCTTATACATTTTGCCATATTGCTCAGTTCATGACAGTTTTATATTGGACACGACTCTACACTGTTTATTTACAGTGGAACTTTGCAGCAGCAACAGTACATGTCTCCTGAACTGTGAACCATCTCTCCCCCTCGTTAAACTCTAGAGGCTATTCGAAGCCCCATGTCCTTCCCAGTGACCCTAAGCTCTGCATCTCTCCCGAACACGTTTGAATTGAAGTTACGAAGAAAGTGTGTATGTAATCTTCTAATCCAATGTTGGAACAATAGGAGAAGAGGCTTCAGAGAGGAGAGAGAGTTGTGTCTTGTGTTACATTTGGTTACGGATCTGTATAGATCAACATTCTTATAAAGATTTATAATCTCACTGCCTGCCTGGTTAAAGAAGTCTCACTCGTAATCTCTTGATAGTAGCTGAGACTATAGTTAGCTTGAAATATTGATTGAAACTGTTTATTAGATTTTGAGTTCACTATTGATGAAATCTTGTAACTTATTTTTAAATATAAGCTCAATGCCGTTATAGAAAAGAAGCAAAAATAGAAGCTCAATTATGTAAAATATCCACTAGGCGAATAGCAATAAATTATACTAAAAGATAAAAAGACTCCGAAGAGCCGTTTGCGTTTTTGAATTTAAATCCTTCCTCTGAGAATTATCGAATCTCTCTCCCAAAATGTCAGACGAGAAGATATTCATCGATCTCTGTAGCTCCGACGAGGAGGAAGAAGACAATTTCCCTGATGAGAATCGTTTTCCAGAAGAGCTTGATGACCAAACGGAAGAAGAGGAAGAAGAAGATACGACTTCAAGGTAATTTTCTCAACGGCTCCTTCGCTTAAGCTTTCTAATATCTTTGATCGACTGTGATTACTGTCTGTTCAGTGAGGATGATAGCGATCGGAGCGAAGACGATGCTAGCGACTCAGATGTAGACTACGACATCGTTAACGAAACAGGCCAAAAAGGCCATGCTGCTGATTCTGCTGATGATGATGCTGAAAAAGTCACCCGCCTGCTCACAGGTTTATAGATCGGGTCTAGTCACTGTTATCGCTCGCTATATGATTGGATTGTTTTTTGAAAATAATAATAAAAACCTCTGTTAGGAGGGGATGCTAAAGAAACTTGAATGTTTCTGATTTTAAAAAATCTGCTTGTGTTGTGTGTGTTGTAGCTGGAAGTGATTTGATGAAATCTGTAAATGTGAAAGAATGCAAAGCATACCTGAGAAAGCATGGTTTAAGATTATCTGGTACTAAACCAGTTTTTATTGAGAGGATTCTTGAGCATTGGAGGTCCTTACTTACTTACTTACTTGCTTACCTCTTCCCCTCTGATCGTCCTTGTGGAAAATATGTATTCTAATGATCCTATTTTGATGATTCCATTCCCCAGGATTAAAGATGGGAGTGGAGAATCAAAATATCCAATTTCATCTTTTCCTATCAACTGTAAAGGTAAATCATCTTGTTTTAGATAATACACATTTCTTTTTCTCTGTTGTTGGTGTTGACATTCCCTAGAAATTTGGGTGCAGGTGATGTCTGCAAAGGAGACACTGTTTTGTTTACACAGAAGGTGAAAGGGAGTGGGAAGATTGTTGGGAGAAGAACTGTCGCTGGCCAGGTTGTTAAAGAAAGCTACGGTACTGCTAAACAGCAACACACTTTCACTGTAAGTATATTATTCTTGATCATCATCATTGTGCGACTGTTGTTTTCTGTTTCCCCTGCTTTATTCTGATAATCTAATCATCTTTTATGTGTCTTTTACCAAAGATTGAAGTGCTTTGGAGCGAGGGCATGCAGGAATTGCCTCCCTTGTACCCTTTACTAGTTAAAGGACGGAATCTTTATAGGTTAATGACCATGAGGCAGGTGTGTTGTCTTTCTTTTTAGTTTATGTGTTCAGTCATGAGTCTTGCCAATTGCATATGCTTTACGGGTTGGTTGATCTACTGCTTATTCTAGCGATGGGCTAATGAAAACGAGAGAGTAAAAGTTCTTTCTGAAAAGCATAGCCGTGGTGCCGCAGCAAGAAAGGTTATGAGAGAAAGGAAAATAAAGTTAGGCTATGTACTAATAGGTAAGATGCGTTGTTTCTTCTCTGTTTCATACACTAGATAGAGGTTTTGTTTTAGTAGTGATCATCTTTCTGTGTGTTTTGTAACCCAGATGGAAGACTTCAAAAGCCTGGTCATGTGAAGAAGCCTTGTCGAGTAAAGACAAGAAAAAATGAGAATCAAACTCAGAGGCCTACACAAGAAGCCATCACGGCTAATCATTCACGAGTTGCTTCTCAGGGTCATAAGAATCCAACCCAGTTGAGAAATATGAATCCACCTTTCCACTCCCATAATTCCCTTACATATGCTCCTCGACCACACGGTGGTCAACTACGTGCTCCTCTTACATATGCTCCTCGTCCATACGCTCCTTTCAATGTCCCCCATTCACATCTTCCTCGTCCAAACATTCCTCAGCCACACTCGTATGCTTATTCAACTCAGCAAAACCAATCAATCCCAAGACCACCACCAGCTTTCTTCAACGGAAGACCTACTTCTAATGCTTTGCAGGGACAAGCATCTTTCAACCCACTCGCTATGCACCAGAGGAGGCCATACCAGAACCATCATACCAACCATGCAAGCTCGAACAGTGGCTACAACTACGGGGTGAGGGACTTGGATCACTTCTCGGATATGACGATAAGCCAACACATGAACCATCGTCATATCTACCATTCGAACTCTAATAACAACTACAACCCTGGAGACACACACAGGCAAAGTAGGGACACTTACAGACCAAATCATCGGTAACCCTCATCCGTAAAGTTTCACCGGATCACAATTCTCTTGATTGATCATCCTTTCTCAAGCTTTTTTTTTTTCCAATCATAAATTAACATTTCTTATGTATGGCGCATTTCAAGGATTACTTTCATTATGAATTTTGTTCAGTCTTTTTTTTTTTTGCAAGTTCATTTACCAGCAACACTACCAGTTCCTTTCATATGTATGGCGCATTTCACATGCCACTGATTCTTTTTTTCACCGGAAGATTCGAGGATTAAAAAAAAAAAAGTTACAATGAGTTTCTTTTCTGCATAAAACTGGAGACTAAAGCTTGCATATGTATGTAAGCAATAAAAATAATTAAAGACATACGATTGTGCAAATAGTGAAAATCATGAGGTGGTTGGAATCCTAAAAGAAGCAAGATCATGTAACTCTGACATTGGACTTGAACAAGAATTTGAAAAAAAAACAGCAATATAAAAGTCAAGACACATTCATTAATCATTCAAAGAGTTACAGGAAGAACCTTAACGAACTCAGTATTCACAGGGACTGACAACACACTACCACGCCACTCAAGTTTGCCCCAACAATCTCCATTGCGTCTTTCAAGTGCTATCTCCGCACAAAATATGGTGTCACTTTGAAACAGGTGACCACTTAAATTTATATTCCAGAAAACCATCATCTTTCCACCACCATTACCAGTCAATCTAGCATAATAACCACGAAGACCAAGAGGACTAGGCAACTTAGGTAGCCCTACCAAACCCTTCAAATCTCTCCACCTTGTCTTGTCGGTGTCATACCATCTCAGAGCTCCTTGGTTAGAAACAGAGTAGAGAACATTATCTATCTCGCAGTAAGATTCCGAATACGTAATCTCATGCATCCTTGGATATTGTTCAACAAGGTCCCATCTACATTGCTTTGAGTTGAAAGCAAACACCCCATCCGAAAAAGTTACCGCATAGAGCTTCCCGTCAATAGTAAAAGTGATTCCGTCATTGTATACTTCATTGGTAGTGTTTGCGGTTGGCTTCTTCTTGGCCCTAGTACTCATAGTTGTCTTCCTCTCCCTGCTCGATACGAAATCGCCCTCGATCATCATCAACCTCTCCAATCGAGGGGATGGTGGCGCGGGAAGAAGAAGAAAGAAGAAACTGAGCACTGCAAAACCGTTTTTATATATTGGTTATTGGGATCTTTCGTGTTGGGCTTTATCAAGCCCACTACCTCTCACTACATCATTTTATTTTCTATAATAGTTACCACTGACATATGTCAGTAAGACATAGATTTACTTTTTGGTAGTTAAAAGGAAAATCACAGTCGTCGTCTTCGACTCAAGGACGACGGTGGTGTGAGTGTGAGTAGCTCTGATCGTAGAGGAAGTCTTCGACAATTTAGAAGTTTGAATTCGATTTTGCGAATCAGTAGTAGATGTAACTATTAGTATTTATATTTTTAGACTGTTTTTAAATCTGAAAGCTGTTTTTTTTTAGGGTTTCTAGAATTCAGTTTCCTCACTGCCTCTCTCTCTCTGATAGATTCACTTGTCGTCTCAATCGTATTAGTGGACTTGTCTAAGCTTTGAACTCAAAAAAGGAAGCAGCTTTTGCCTTAAAGTATCTCTCTTTTTTTTTTTTTTTTTACAGTGCAAAATGGAGAATCATTCAGACACTGAGAGCACACAGCTTTTCGGCGATTGGGATTCTCCTGCGGTGAAAGACACTAGAAAGGAGAGAGGAGCTTCCACATCAACTGCTGGAGTAGGCAGGATGCTCCCACCGTGGGCTGACCCCTCCTACGAATGGGGTGGTGGGAAATGGAAAATAGACGGAAGAAAGAACAAGAAGAACAAAAACAAGAACAAAGAGAAAGAGAAAGAGAAAGACAAAGAGAGTGATTTGAGCATTGAGGATCTCATGAAAGAATACTCTTCGCTACCTCCTCAAATCGCTGAGTGGTATTGGTGTATCGAATATGTTGCCAAATTCCACAAGGACCTTAGCTGCATATTCGGTAACTCAATCCCCTCTTTTATTATTTAGTTTTATGTGTGTGTTTTTGGTAATTAACAGAAAATTCTCTTTTTTTTTTTATTTTGCTTTCAGATGTGATGAACATGGGTTATCCCTGCACAGATGACTACGGGAGCAGGATTAATGAAGTCGTGTCTCTTAGAATCTTGGAGTCCTTGTTTGATCCTACCAAGATTGATGCTACTATGGTCGGGCCAAGAATTGAGTTTGATTTCTCTTTGAGCAGCAAACATGTTCTCTATACCATTCTCCAACATGTATGTTACTGTTAAAAATAAAATTTGACTAAATAATCATAGGATTGCTAAATCTTGTTCTCAAATGTTTGTTATAGATTACAGTATCAGAAGCACGACCAGGCATGCCGGAGCTGTCCAAGTTCAATCTTCTTCCTTTTATTTCTCACAAGAACATGTCTTTACCCCTATGTGCACTGGAGATGGTAAAAAAAAGCTCTGCTTCATGTTTTATTTATAAAGATACCCCCAAGTGATTGATATTCTTATACCATTCGGGTTTGGATTGTAGCTGAGAGATGTTAGTGCTATGGAGAATAATAGTATAAGTGCAGCTTCTCCTACCGTGGAACCAAATGACTCTGTTTATAGAGATGAGCAACCAGAGCAGCAAGCGCATACTGGTTTAGAGCAAACCAATATACTCGTTGAGGATAATGTAGTTGTCGGCGATGATCCCATGCAGACTAATGAGGGAGATGAAGTAATTGTGATCGATGGCAATGACACTAGTGCTGAGAAACCCATTAATAACGACGGTAATACTACTAGGGAAACCTCTTCTTCAAGGTCGGATGTGTGTGTAAAATGTACAAAAGATGGAGCCTGGTTAATCTGTGGGAGCAGTGATAATGAGTCAGATATAGTTAAAGGTCCACCAAGACCCGAGAACGTATGCTGGAAATGTGAAAGAGGAGGAGCGTTGTTGATATGCAGCAAAAGCGATTGTGCAACAAAAGTTCATAAAGAATGCTTGAATTGTCCAGCTAACTTTGACGAACACGACAACTTTCACTGCCCTATGTGCTGGTATGGTCGAGCCACTAAGGAGTACATTGAGTCTCAGCAGTTGAACAGTTGTGCAAAGAGAAGAGTAGCTAAGTTTTTACCGCTGCTTTTTAGAGCAAGCAAGAGACTGAAATGATGGAAGGTCTTGTTACAAACCTGACTAGTATCTAACTTTTTGGGAGTAATTAGAGAACGGAGCAAATCTTTTGTATGCTGATGCTAATCTTTGGTATAAAAAAATATTTTGGATTTATTAAACTTGAAAAGACAAAATTTTAATTTTTGTTAGTACTTTTGATGTTCCATTTTTCTATAATTGTTACCAGGTAAGTTGACGATCTTAAGACATAGATTTACTTTTTGTTAAACCTTTTATGCAGACTTTTCATTTTTCCTATATAGATTGGTCATACATTTGTGATTGTCTACTTCCAATACCGTAATACACGTTATTTGCAATTCAGATTTAATTATGTTCTTACACGTTATTGGTATCTATTATTTTCCAAATAAACTAATTTGGAAACTTTTGACATTTTTATGAATAGAAAATTAAAAAGAAACTATTATTTTTGATTGATTTCTTACAATTATATATGGATGCTCTTAATGGCTTCTTCAGCTTTTACATAGTGTTGTAATACACATTTTTTGCAATTCAGAATTAATTATGCTCTTATGTTAATTTTCTTAAAATTTAATATAGGTAACAAATTAATTTCAGTTTAGATGATTTTTATTTGTCACGTTACTTTATTTTATATTGGTTTCTATTATTTTTTAAATTAAATAATTTTGGAATTTTTTGACATTTTATAAATAAAAAATCTAAAAATGATATTTTCTTAATTAAAATATTTTATTAGATAAGAATTTATCTTATTTTAAATGAAATATATTTTTGGAAATATTTTACAAGTAATAGATTAATAAGATGAATTTTCATACCTTGATTGATAGTTCAAAATCTTATGTGAACACCATCAATGATTGTCACAACTTCTATTTAGTATAGATTGGTTGCTTCTTTTTCATTAATCGATTTATCCATTTGGAAAAAAAAGGTAAAATTACTTTTTCATTTATCTATATATAGTAAAGGATGTATATAAATAGTAAAACGTAATAAATACGGTTGTTCACAATTTATATACTCCATGGAAGGTGCCGCAGCTAAACACAAGACCGATTTTACATATACTCCGGCTCATTGAATTCAAATACATGATGGTAGTGCGTTCTTCGCGTTCAGAAACACCCGAACCATCTGTTCTCGGTACGATCCGGAAAAGAAAACTAATACTACTAAATTGTAGAAAAGTAATATAACCACACTTGCAATCTTATAAAACATGGCATAAGACCTATGCTATAGCCTATATATTAAAAGGCTACGTACATATTGATCGACAGCGAGAAGGCTTTAAGTACTCCAAGATCATTCTTTAAAAACTTTATATACTAAACCTAGCATCAAGCCACCCTTCAAACTTCTCAAGAGCTACACCTTTTTCTAATTATCAAACATACTACCATACAAGCTTTCTTTATAATAAGATAATAACAGAGTGTCCTTTGCCACTATTCCATATGCCGTAAGGCCAGTATAGCCTGTGGCCGCTAATCATTAATCAAGGATTAAACCAAATATGGAAAAATAGGGTTAGTTGGCTCTTAGCTTTCAAATCAGTCTCAGCCGTCAGCTTAAAGATCTATAAACCAGCATAATCTTTGGTCAGCCCCACCACCATGATTAAGGAAAATAATTTTGTTCTCTGACTTTATTTTTCCAAAACTTTCTTTGTTTTTTTTTCTTTTTACCCAAGTGTCACGGCTATAGCACTAATTAAAAACTAGCTGTGTTGTAAAATTTAGTCGTAGAATTGACCAGATAAATCCACAATAACTTCTAAGAGATTAGCAAAAAAAAGCAAAGAGTCAAGCATCATATGTTCTGATGTTCACATAGATTCGGATTTTTTAGTTGTCTTAATACAGTATGTCAGCTAATATATAGATTATTTTCGAACACGCAGACGTTTATCTAAAATGTAATAAATAATACTATACATGTTTTTCTTTCTTTTATCCACTTCTTTATTAAAGGGTAGAAAATTTATTCTTCCGATTAACACGAGTCCTTTTACATTCTCTCTTTTTTCCTATTATCTAATATATCTTTTTTATTATCAGTGACCTAACACAAACTAGAAAATATCAGGGTGTAAGTGTGTAACTCATTGTTTATGTTACTAAAGACAACTCCTAATGGATCCACCATATAGTTCCCGCTTTAACCTTTCCTCGGACGTCCTTGTCAAATGTGATATGCATGCTTCATTTAATATAATATTTTTACAAATGTAAAGTTTGTGGTTGGTGAAAAGATACTGATGTTCGCATGTCCAAAAATATTTACGTTCAGTAAAAATATGACTGATAAGACTGTGTCGATGGATGTGTCCAAAGATACCGATGTTCGCATGTCCAAATGTGTGCACTTTAGTTTACACACAATATATAACCTCCGTGTTACTGCATGGAAACGGAAGCCAAAAGAACCAAAATTCGTGTACAAGGACAATCATAATGTGGAAGCCAGAAAATTATAAACGGAGAGAAATAAAGTAGCATATCAAGAAGCGATTATATTAAAATTCAAGCGTGATGGATCACAATCACGGAAACACAACGAGCAATACATAGAAACCCCAGCAAATACATGACGCACCCACAACAACACTTACTTTGTGACAAGTAAATGTCTAAAAAAAACTATCATCATCTTTCTTTTTCACAACAACATATAACTAGTGCCCGATTCCAGGACTATTCCCGGGTTTGGTAGGCCGGAACGCATCCAAGGAATGATCTTCTGTCTCTAACTTGCTTGAAATGTTCAAACCGCGACCACCAATTTTATTCGGGACACTAGAGATCCCCAAAGATTTCAAAGGTCGAGCGTCAACGATCTGAGATTCTTGGATGAGAATCAGCATTATTAGTAGTAAAAACATGGTACTCAAACGGCATTTAGCCATAGCAATAATAATCAAAAATAGTTATACTTTCTAGATTACACGAAAGGGATAAAAAAATCTTAGGGAATATGTATGAAGACTGTTTTGTAAGATTTGAATGTATGTACTTCAACTCTGAGATGGCTGCTATTTATGGAGAAGACAAATGACTAGTTGGACCATGCATGTGTACTAAGCCAATAAATTATTCTTTAAAATTATTGTTCTAAAATAATATAAATACACATGTAAACTAATTAAGAGTTTATTTGTTAATTCCAAACTTCTAGGAAGATTCCTTGAGTGGCGCTCATATGCAAAGTTGCAAGAATGGCGTTGCTATAGAACAATAGCGTATAAGAGCATCTCCAATGTAAAACTCCATTTTTTTTCTCCAAAATGGAGTAAAAGAGAATATGAAGTAAAAATGCTCCAATCCCATTCTATTTTCCACTCCATAATAGAGTGATGAACAAACAAAAAACAGATTACTCCATTTATGGAGTAAACTCTATTATGGAGTAGAATATGAAATAGGGTTGGAGTGTTTTCTACTCCATATTTCCTTTTACTCCATTTTAGAGTAAAAAATGGAGTTGGGTTGGAGATGCCCTAAATAAAGACATGCATACCCACAAAAAAAAAACTACATAAATTATGTTGTGTTAATGTCATGTCTTTTTTTTTTTTTTGAATGCATGTTGAATTTTATTCAAACAAAAAAACCCTTTGTTTTACATTGTTACATGCTTCATAAGAAAGAACATTTTCTCCTATACATTTCTATCAACTAAAGATCCTCTATAGACTGGATATTGGTCTTGTAGAAAACCAGTAGCCAATGTCATGTCTCACCACGAAGCACCAGATGTCTAGTGGTAGAATAGTACTCAACCATGATACAGATCCGGATTAGATCCCGGCAGGTGCATTTTTGAAAGACGTTATTTAAAAATGTAGTTGGTGCTGGTCTCACTGCTTTTTTCACCCTCACCTATTGTTATCTTTACCATCGAACTATTGCCTTGCACATTATAAATTTTATTTTCAAAATGTGGTTGGTGCTGGTCTCGTTGCTTTTTTCACGCTCATCAATTGTCATCTTTTACCATTGAACAGTTGCCTTGCATATATTTTTTTTTTGAACAACGGCATATTTAAATTATTATTTTGCAGTTTTTCAATAAACAATAAAAATATATTGAAAAAGTTTATTATTCACCAAAGTTAAGCACTCCAATTGCAACAAAGAAGGATTTGTTAGTTATTTTATTACATGTCATTTTTTATCATTACAATAATCTTATATCATTTTCTATATATTTTTTTCTTGTCACTGATATCATTTTCTATATTAACTTCAAATAAACAGAGCATGGAGAGGGACATAATACTTTCTTCTCATTGCTTTCTTAATGCGATATATTAATTTTACTAGCTAATATAACTCATCAATTAAGTATTTTCCTTCTCCCTATTTAAGAAATCTTTAAACCTTTATTATGCATCACCAACCACTTTAAATCATTTATAAAATCCCAGTGTAAGTGTAAGATATGTTAAAAAAAAAAATATATATATCTAAAAAGGTTTCCGAAGTCTTTCTTCATGTGTATTGAAACTCTCCCTTTTGCACATGGTGGCAAGTAGTACGAAGCTCACTACGAAGTACTCATCTGCAGATCTGCTATACATTTTTTTCACAGAGTAATATGTACTCATCTGCTATGCATATTAACATGCAGACTCATGCAAGAAATTAAAGTTTGAAATTAATTAAAACACACATCGCACGTTAACTTTATTAAATGAACTAGAACAACTCTTGATCAACAAAACTAGTAAACAACATATCATAAACTACATACACTAGATTTAAAACTTCACGCAGTAATTTAAATACATATTAATTTAGTAAAAGCAACAAGGAAATACGCTAAACTATTAAAATATTTTCTACGACTTAGGCTCATTGTTCTTGACAGAATGTCCAACGCCGGGACTATGTCCTGGTGTCGTAAAGTCATATTTAAACCCTTCGACAATTTCATTATTCTCCTTCAATTTATGACCAATGCCCGGACTATTACCCGGGTAAGTAGGCCCAAAATCATCAGTGTTACCGGCTGTGAAATGATGATCACGATCTGCACTGTCAGCTTCCCGCAACTGTCTCGCCTCAGTGTATCGTATTTTATAACATACCATCAAAATGAAGAGAATGGTAAGAATGCTATAAGTTGAGAGTTTCATGTTAACCTTTTTCTGCGTGGGAGATTAGTTTCTAGGGTTATAAGAGAAGAAAGTTGAGATCACACGACTTTGGGTTATGTTTTTAAGTTACTTCGAAAGAGAGATCGTTTTTATAAGCGTAAGTGAGTGGAAGTTGCACAATGAGCACAGTGGTTTAATTTGGACCGTTCGTGTATCAATTTCCAAAATAATAGGAGAACTATAAAACAAAGGGGTAACAGTATTAAACATATGCATATAGCCAAGTTGATGGAAGGATTTCAAATGGTCCATTGGTATATTTTAAGGTTAATATATAAAATCAGAAACGTCTGTTTCAATCATCATGAAATATAAATCAAATTTACATTCATAATTTTAATATTTGACTGTTATTTATTACTAAATAAATCAAAGATATACGACACAATCTAACGTGTGATTTTCGACAGCGGTTCTGAATCTTTCATAATGCTCTATTGTTGAATATACCAAATCATACTTGTATTTGTACCTTTTGTTAGTTTTTCAGGTGGAAATAAAAAATGACTGGTGACAAGTATGGTTAATGCTATTTAAATTTTGACCATGAATAATTATAATACATTTTCAGAAGTTAAAATGAGAGAGAGAAAAACCAAATTTGTAAGCATAAATGATGTACTTTACATTAATACTATAAATTTCCAAAGGCTAATTAAGTTCCACAAAAGCCACCCTTCCCTAACCCTAGAAAGACACTGATGCTAGAAGGACGCTCTCCCATCTGGCCATCTCCGTGCATAGATAATATATAAAATTATGCAAAAGCTTTATCTATACTTTAGCTATTAAAATCAATCGTACAAACCTTGATTTTAGTTATAAACAAATTAATACTGAAGAAACGAAGGTATATGTGCACGGTTGCTGGAAATTGGAATGTATCCATTTCTTAATTTTTCTTTGAGTTCAGTTTTTTTTAAGAGACTTGGCTAGTTTTATCTTTATTTCTCCAGTAAGAAACTATGGTCTTCAAAATTTATTTTAAAATGTATTATAATAATGTTGGCTATATATACTGCAAAATGGCAAGTCTTGAGATTCCTAATTGCTATATGTAGGGGTGGGCACGGATCGGATATCCAGATTTTCGAAGGTATTTGTGATTTGCTTCATATATTACGGATATATGATTTTGGTATTTGTTTTGCTTTGGAAAAATACGGATATCCGTAAAAACGGATATCTGGAAAATAAACAGATATTTGCGGATATTTACGAATACTTATGAATATCTCATCCGTTACAAATAATCTTATATAAATTTATTTTGTAAAATTTTGTTTACATGATATATAAAATAAAAAATAAAGAAGTAGTGAATTTGCATATTTTATAATTTTTTTTATGTTTAAGTTAACAACTATAATAACACAAAACTTAAGATTTTTTTTTATAATTTTCATAATTTTCTCTTCTTTTTATTTAATATTTGGCTATATATATACTGCAAAATGGCAAGTCTTGAGATTCCTAATTGCTATATGATCATATCTTTGACTCCTAAAGAGTACTATAACAGTTGGACCCTCCACTCACAAATACAAGATCTTCTCCAGTCTCCACTACCAATAAAGATTGGTTACCATCAGGTCGTATTTATAAAATATTCTTCGTACGACAAAAATGTAATCATTATATATACCTAATTTGTTTTCGAAGTTTTAATTTGCCTTCTCGAAACGTTTGTGATATAAATATTTTCTTAAACACCCCAAGATTTGAATAATTTACAACAGACATTTGCTACTTTCTCTAGACTTGTATCTGATTGATTTTAATCTGCATAAGTGTATATTTCTTTTAGTGTAAAACTATCTTGGGTAGTTTTTTATAGTAACTAGATCTCACCGCAAACGGTACCCAAAATTTAGGAAATCTTTTTAGAATTTTTTGGTGAGTTATACTACCACCGCATGCACTGACAAAGAATCGAACTTACGGGGCTGTGAGAAAGGGGATCACTAGGATACAAGTCCTTCTCGTATATTTTCTTTGTGTTTGTGATGTTTTTATTTAGGGGGAGAAAAGGTGGGTGTGTCACATGTTACGTTCGATAGTCACTTCTTGTTGCTGTTGTTTCTGTCCATAAGAAGAGGCATAAATAAAGTAAGATACAAATTGGTGAGGTGAAATATTAAAGGCAAACAAAATCCCGACGCAGGGAACAAGCCGTCGAGTTTGTTAAAAATCACTCTCTTCTAGCCAGATGTTTTACGACTTCTGTATATAGCTTTTAGACGTTTAATATACGAAGCGTGTAATTCCAGTCTGGAAAATCAAACTCTAGAACAATATATAAGTCAATTCTTTTGTATAGAAAATGATATATAATCAAACCAAACGGACTATTCATTCGTTCTAACGCAAGTTTTTTCTTTTATAAATGCCTAATTTTATCAAAAACTTGTGAAAAACATAACCGGTTGAATCAATACCACTAAATTCTTATGCCCTTTAAAAATTATATATATATATATATATATATATATATCACTAAATTCTTTTTTAGCAAATCAATAATATATTACTAATATTCATTTTAAGAATACCTTCTACGGACTACGATTAAATATAATTTGGGCATGTGATGTTTTTATATCGACACTCATTGTCCTTTATTATGTATTTATGTCCATCGAATTTTAAGCCATCATTTAAACTTATAATGAGACCGACAACGCCGCCATACTTGTTACTATAGTATTAATATAATGAACTAGATTTTGACCCGCGCAACCGCGCGGGTGTTTGTTTTCGTTTATAGTTAGTTATATAAACATTTTGTTTTTACTTTTAAATTGGTATATATTATAATAATCATATATTTACAATATGTATAGTAAATATTTTCAAACATAATAATATTATATAATACGTGTTTTAATCAAATATATTATACGTATTTTTCAAACATGTGTTTGTTTCCTTTTCTATATAGTTTATTGTTTGTTAGATTAGTATTTCATTTTTAGATAAAGTAATATAAATAGAACTTGATTAAATATTAATATACTTTAATTTGCAAAGATAATATAAACTTCGAAGAAGTTTTTGCTAAAAACTAAACTTATAACTTCATAAATTAATATTATAAAGAATTTTATTAAAAGGAATTTTTAAACAATTTCTTTTTTTAAACAATATAATTTTAAAATTTTACATAGAAATAAATTTATCTAGTATATATAACGTGTAAATTTTGTTAGGGTATATAAATATTCCATATTACTTGCGCGGTGTTTGTTTTCGTTTATAGTTAGTTATATAAACATTTTGTTTTCACTTGTAAATTGGTATATATTATAATAATCATATATTTACAATATGTATAGTAAATATATTCAAACATAATAATATTATATAATACGTGTTTTAATCAAATATATTATACATATTTTTCAAACATGTGTTTGTTTCCTTTTCTATATAGTTTATTGTTTGTTAGATTAGTATTTCATTTTTAGATAAAGTAATATAAATAGAGCTTGATTAAATATTAATATACTTTAATTTGCAAAGATAATATAAACTTCGAAGAAGTTTTTGCTAAAAACTAAACTTATAACCTCATAAATTAATATTATAAAGAATTTTATTAAAAAGAATTTTTTAAACAATTTCTTTTTTTTAAACAATATAATTTTAAAATTTTACATAGAAATAAATTTATCTAGTATATATAACGTGTAAATTTTGTTAGGGTATATAAATATTCCATATTACGAATCTGTGATTTTTGTTAATATATTATGGATGCATTTAACTATTATTGACATATTTCCTTATAAATAATAGAAGATTCCTAAACTTATATCTATTGACATATTTTGCGTGACTAAGTTGGAAGGTGTGGGGTAATTTACCAAAACCAATTGTTAAGCGTATCTTTGTTATTATAGATATGATTTTTCATAAGATATAATAATGATAAGATTATTAGATGTAACATGACTTTCTAGTAATAGTTCATTTTTAAAAAAATCACACATGAAGTCAAGTCATGACTTCTGTTTTAATATATAAGATTAGTGCGCATCTTTTAACTAGGTGTTTAAAAACGAACGATGAGTATTTAAAAATGAACGAGAGGAAAAGTTAGTTCGTCGACGAGTGAGGAGAATCAAGTCAAAGGTACCATCGCCATCACCTTAACCGCACAGAAAAAAACTTAACCACTAACTTTTCCCTACCACTCATACTTTCTTATGAAAAAACTATAAAACTATGCAAAAAATCGTTTTATTATGAAAAATGGTTATAGACTCTTAATTTTTAAATATATATACACTCAAATTCAAATATATTATTATATTGAAACATCAAATAAACTACATTATATTTTTTAAAAATTCCTTGTTTGAAGTTAGTGGATTGCCTCTGGTTCACTTTTTTTCATGTGAGGAACGACTGTTATTTTAACAATTATTATATCTTATATTAATATAAACATATTCATCTTTATTTATAAATATATTATTTTTGTTTAAATAAATTAGTTTCATATATCTAGAATGTTTAAAATATTATTGTATAATTTTTTGAATGGAATTCTTTGTGTGCTGATTACAAAAAAAAAAAAAAAAAATTATTTATGTGTGCTGTATCTCGTGCTATACACTCGGTAGTCGGAATATCCCACACTTTGGAATATTCGTGCTATATATGAAAAGTGCGCCTGCAGCCATATAATGACATGTTGAAAAGAGAAAAGGTTGGGTTTTTCTTTATGTTGGTTCCCACACACAGGGAAGTCCTCTAAAGGGCCTACCACAGTCTCCGAATACAGAATTTATTATTTTCAGTTTATTCTGCACAAAAAATTTACCCACATCAGTCCTTGATTCGATTTTTTTGAAAACTAAACTATCATTATTTAGTTAGTTTAGACTTGAATTTTGGTTCAAGTGGTTTACATGGTGGATCATAACAGATGATCGGTTCACCCTCTGACATTAGTCGGAAAGTATTCCAAACTCGGATCAGGCGATGTCGTAGCCAGTTCACTTTATAGCAATAAGTGTGTTTCTCTCAGGATTAATCGGATCAGCCAATAAAGTTTATTAAAAAAAGGAATTTACATAAAGATAAAGGAAACTTAAACCAGCTGGTTAAGATAAAGAAAACTTTAATCAGAATTAACCGAGATTACAATAACGGAAATTAATCAAAAATAAAGAACTACGTCATGTAGAATACGTGTATTGAAAACATGTTTATCTGGAGTTCTTAGTTCGTGGTCCACCACAAAACCCTTAAGAATCTGTTGCAAAAATTATTAATTAAAAATCGATTTTAGCGAATTTCTTACACTGTTCGCGGGTCCACTGACACGTAACGGTACACGATTGGGTTACTTTTAATTTTTTTCTTTTTCTAGAAAAAAATAGGTTTCGTAGGGATAAACATGGTCTAAGGATCATATACTCATAACGTTCAATTATAAAACTACATCACCTAGCGGCCATTCACTTTTTTTTTTCTTCTAATAAACCTAATCGGCTTATCCAGTTGTTCTCGGGAGGAGTGCACTTAATGTTACAGAATATACTGACTACCATACTGTCCAATATGAGTTTAGAATACCTTCCGACTAATGTCAGATGGTGAACCGATCATCTATTACAATCCACCATGTAAACCATTTAGGCTGAAATCCAAGCTCACTGGCCAAATAGATAATTTAATTTTCAAAGTGAATTGAACTCAAGACTGATCTGGGTACACCAATCTCCAAAAAATTACCACTAAGCTATCATCACTTGAATTTTTTTCTTTTTGTTTTCATTTTGCATAGAATGTTAAATGCATTTTCTACCTTTTGCTACTATTTATTGCGTTGTCACTTAATATTTTAAATATTCTCCCTGCAGATGAAAATTGTATGAAGATAGTCAGATACTACCTCCGTTTCCAAAACTAAGATTTTCTAGATTTTTTTTTATTTCACAAATATTGATTTTATATATGGTTAAAGTACTTTTGTATACTTTTGAAAAACTAATTGATAATATTTGAATTGCTTAAATTTGATTGGTGGATAGTTATTAGAAAGTGTTTAGAAAAATAAAAGAGAAATTTATTTGTAAGTTTATTATTTTTTTTTCAATAAAAGTGAATATTCTTGATGATCTTATTTTCGGGGCGGATGTAGTATGTAGATTCCAAAAAAAAATCAGGTATTAAAAATATTTTTTTTAAAAAATTAAGGATTTATTCAAGGATTTAAGATTTACATAAACGTTTTAAGGTTTAGTGTTTTGATAATAGTATTAAAATGTTTAAATTTCTTTTTTCAACCACTATTATTTTTTATTTATTTTAAATTTTAAAAACATTATATAACTCGATCATATTTTGTTTCTTTTTAGAAAAAAATACTGAATATAAATTAACATAATTCTATTGGTTACTCCTCTATAATATTTTGTAGAGCCAAAACAGTAATTCTTTGAAGTTTTTTTTTTTTTTTTTTTTGGTCAATATTTGAAGTTTTCTATAAAATTTTACAGCTAAAACCATAATTCTTAAAGTTACAGCAATTATCAATCCGACCCGTAGGCTTGTCTTTAATTGAGTTTAGAGAAGCCCAAATCTTTACCAGATTGAATTTCGATGTCTCATGGATGTGTGGATATTTTATTTATAGTTTCTATTATAGGCCCAACGAGACAAGCCATAGGTTATTGTATTAGTATTTTGCTCCTTCCATCCGCAGATCGATTTACAGTCGCTTGTTGTTATCTTTCTTTGTTTTGGCGTTGCTCATCTTCTTTTCAGTTTGTACTTTTGGAGATTTGAAATTTATCAGCTTTGTATTCCACTTTGATATAAACTTAGATGCAAAAGAAATTAGTGGTTAGATTTAGTCCATCACAAGCACACACATTGGCAAATATTTTTGTATCAAACTATTTGGTCATACCATTATACTGTATATTTTACCGGTTTACTAGGGAGTTTCTTTTACTTTAAATTAAACTATTTATTAGGGCTATTCTATTACATAGCGGTAAATAAAACAAAATTAACTATTTATTAGACCAAGAGATTAATTTTACTGGAGCTACATATAGAGAAAATGACTAGAATATCCTTTAAAATTTTTTTTATCAAAAATATAGACCTTAACAATTAAAATGATTAAAATATCACTTAAATGTTTTATTAAATATATATTTATACCCCTTGGATTAACTAAATCTAGATTTTTTTGTTTAGAGTTGAGGAGTGGGGTTTTGGGTATAAAGTTTCGAATTTTAGAAATTAAGAAAACTTAAAATTTTCAAAATAAAAAGTGCTATTTTGATCATTTTAATTTTTAAAGTCTATTTTTGTGATAAAAACTTAAAAGATGACTATTTTAGAGAATTGCCCTTACATATATATGATTTTCAAACAAATAAAGAGAAAGGGCGTCATTGGGATTTTGAACCCTGGTTATGGGTGTCAAATAGTATAGAACAACAATTTCTACTAAAGATTCTTTAAGAAATATTATACTCCCTCCGTTTCAAATAAATTGTCATTTTGGAGGAAAAATTTTGTTTCAAAATAAGTGTCGTTTTAGAGTTTCGAGACAAAATTTATTAGTTTTATCTGATATTCTATTTTTCTATTGGTTGAAAAGTGGTTAGGTGTATAGGTAATTGTGTTTTTTTCTTGAAAATATGTAAAATTAAATGTTTCCTTAATCTGTGTATAAAAACGTACAATGACAATTAAAATGAAACGGAGGGGTACAATTTTAGTACCATGTTTGGGGTGTCAGGTAACCCCTTGGCCTTCTAGGTCTGCCCCTGTAACAGACATGCATTTATACGCTTCGTCATATGGGAACTTAATGAACTATATACACCAATATAGTTTTACTTATTTCAGAATCCTTAATGCATTAAGCAGCAGATAATGCTGTCAACGAGAGATGAGTTGGAGTTGAATGGTTATAAATCGACAGAGAGTAGATCTATAAAGATGATGACAAAAGTCATATGCGTTACTTCAATTTTAAAAACTGGAAACTAAATTTTCTGAACTACTCAGTCTTGTTTTTTTCTACTTCTTTTGTACACCCAAATAAAATTACATCACAAGATCGATGAAACATGAGAAGTGGAAGAAGAGGTAATGAAATAAACCATCCCCTTTAACAACACATACGTGCCTAATTTTTTTAACAAACAACATTTCAGATCTAAGTTTAACATAAAACGTAAAAAACAAACAAAAAATCTGGAAGCAACCATGTTCCTAGCTAAATAAAAAGGCTTGTTTTTAAGCTCTACATACTCTTCTTCATGTCCCTGCAACTTGAGCCTTCTCTTCCACCTATTGCTTCCTGAAACCAAAAAAATTCCAAGGAAAACAAGTTGTATTTTAATATCTAACCAAAACAAGAAAATTACACAACTTTTATTAATACACAGAAGAAAATATGTGGAAGTTATGACAAAACTCATATAAGAGAGAAAGTAGTACGTACCTGAGACTGTTTGTTGTTGATCATATGAACAAATGGTTCTTCATTACTCTTAGACCCAACATGGGTCCTCTTAAGCCCCAAAAAACCTTTCCACCTTCCCTTAGAGGAAGAAGATGAGAAGATAGGTGGCTTGAGCGAGAAGATGTTGGTAGCATCATGAGAACTATCTTCTTCATCTTCAACAAGGAGCTCTTCTCTCAATGTTCTCTGGACTTGGTTAGCCTCCTTGAAAGGCAAAAGCTTCCCTTTAGAGAAAAGTTCATCAGCAGGCATCATTGTGTAGTCGGAGACAGAGAACTCGAAGTTATCAGTAGCTGAGGAAGAACCCTCTGGTTTGGAGAGAGGGCTTGACCTTGGCGTCTTCGTCGTCTCAGGCCTAGTCTCAATGAAATCATTAGAGAAAGAGATTCTAGGACTCATGTCACCACCACCATTGAAGTTGTACATTTCTAAGCATGCCATTAGAGACAGAGCTCGTCTGTGTCGAATTATAAACTCAGTTAAAGACTCTCTTGGAGAGAGAGAGAGAGAGAGAGATTTAATTCTGGTAGGGACAGCCAGTTGCACAGAGAAGCCTTGTGCAGTAGTATTATATAGTACCCAATACTCATTTAGTTGTTTTGCACAACGGATCAATGATAAAGCCATAATAACCTATATAGTGAATAATATTACTAGTTTTTATTAAAATGATTTCTTTATTAAAAAAATAAGATGTTACTGTTCGGGAGGAAATTATTTATTGGAATAATTTTGTATCCAAGTGTTTCAAACACAGTTCATTTATTGGTCGATTCTGGTAATTTATTTTTGATATTGTGACATGAACTGTAGTGTTTTTTCAACATATTGGATAGTACCTTCTATTTATTGGTTTTGACGTTAGGTAACAGTAACACACTTATCAGCACCTTCTATTTTTATTTTAATCTATTTTGGCCTTTTATTATCAGGAAAATATAAAGTGACATGCATTGCCAAGTAAGATCGTGAACGTATGGTAATTATGATGCTTTGGCATAACGTAATAACTGTGCGTCTCCTAGTTATCGAATACGTTGATATAGTCTATTTGATTTTCATCTACGAGGAGTTGATATAGTCTATTTGTTAGTAAGTAGTTCCTCGTATTAAGGTTATCTTAATGTTACTGTTTAGAAGTTGCGAGAGTCCCAAATATATTTGCTTGTTTTGTTTCAGAACAAAAAAACAAATACCCATGTACGCGTATATAACTTTTAAAAATCAATAGAATTTTAAGTTTAATCTAGATTTAGAGTCGCCATCTAATTAACAAATCATAAATCATTTTAAATCGTTGCGGGAGGCTTCCTGATTACTTAATACTCCCTTAATAGTATGGTTAGTATGGTATTTAGTTAATACTACTACGTATTATATTAAATGAGTATTGTTTTACTTTAGTGTTTCTTATTTGAGAGAGAAAGAACCTAATCAATGCATATTATGTGATATCTAATTAATACGAAAATATAAATGGTCAACCTGCATTGACTTTTCATTATCCTGTTATAATTGAAAAGTTACTTCCTTGGGTAGTTTGCTTTTCACTTCTAGGGCTTTGCAAGCTTCACAACAAATCAAAAGCATTGGTAAGTAAGAAATGATTGTGGGTCCAAAAACAAAAGATTCAAATTTGAATAATTGATAAAAACTAATAAAATGGAAAGAAATGAGGGAGAAAAGATATAAAAGGAAAGTGTCACAGTAGTCAGATTTGGAGAGATGGCATCTCTTCCACGGAAGTGTCTTTGAAAGCAACGTCACTCCTTTTTCTACAATGTTCTTAATAAGTTTATATAAAAAATAATGTATTAACGAGCCTTTGGGACAGCCAGAGTGTCTCATTTTGTGTGTGTACAGAAAGTGTATGAATTTGGCCAGAGTGTCATCTCAGCTCATATGTTCGTGCAATTAATTCAACCAGAGAGTTGTAAAAAGTATTGTTTTACGTTGTCCATTTCCACTGTCCATCTGCGGGGAAAGTTTTCAACATTTCTAGCTACTCTAGTATCGTGAGATATTTGTATCTCTTGAATTTGATGTTATGTTCAAAGAAACTCAATCCTCCATAAAATGTGTTATTTATAAAATAACAACCAGTTTAACTTTAAATGAACTTATTTTTTATTTTCTTGGTAACGTTTTATTTTCAAGTATGTATATATGGTTAAACAATTTATTCGTGATATTTTTTAGTAGCAATATCATATTTAAAAGGTAATCTCTTGAGCAGTGAGTGTGGTTTGACTCAATAGTGGAAAGAGTGTTATTAGCTGGCGATGCCAACCCTTTCCCTGACCACACGTGCTTCCTCTGTTACACTCGGTTAGTGGTTGGTATATAATTACTTCTGTATATATACACAACTACATTACGTGTAGGCCAAAGTGAACAATTTTGCTATTGTTTCTAATTATCTATTTGGCTAAATGCTGACGTGAATGTAAGGTTCTAATCATCGCACATTCGTTTAGTTAGTGTGAAATCATATTTTAATCATGATGAAAGTCGTTGCCCTCTCCTTTTTTTAACTGCAATACTAGGTTAACATGAAATGAGTGCAGAGTAAGAAGTTTCTATATGCTCAGCTAATTTTTTACATCTTATTAAGGTTTGAATTTTATATGAAGTCTCTTTAATCAAGTAATTTGAGAAAAAAGTTTATTAACAATCGTACACTATAACATTTAGTTTCTAGTCATAGAAAAATGCAAAATTGTGCAAATTAATAAAAAAATATTGTCAAGAAATTTTGAGTATTGCGCAATAAGTATCATCAACCATGGTTTTATATAAGACATCTCAACTGCTCAAGATAATACACCTAGAAATGAATCTCTATATAATCTACCAATTGTAAAATCATCTGTAATATTTTTTATAGTCTATAATATTATAAATATCCAGCGAAAAGATTGAGTTCACGTTATATATAAGAAAACGGTTTATGTAGTATCTACAATCCTGCTGTTTTTAGCCGTTCTTTTTAGCCTAAGCAGTAAGCACTGTCAACGTTTGGAAACATTATTTTCACATATTGTAACGTTTGTAGGTCTTATGCATTTGATCTAATTTTCTGAACCATCTAGTAAAAAGCTTGGGTTATGTTAAATACTTGAAGCCGAGGGCCCGAGCCTGTATAGGAAATGACAAAAGTGTCGCAAAATATTAATACTACAAACTCTTTTTACAATGATTATAATAAAAAAAATGAAACGTGCAGTCAAAGGACACCAGTTGTCAATCACATGGTTCTAGGTGCGCTTTCCTCAGGTGAAGTGGCAAGTGGGTTTATGCCACGTGTCTTTTTGCTAATGCCCCACCGCTCTCGTCTGAATGACTGGTCAAAGTTAGTTCTCTGTTAGTTTCCAAAATAACTGATTTGACCATTTTGAAAAATATTTAGTGCATTATTTTATACTATCTCCATTCCTAAAAATAAGATTCTTTAGATGTTAAACTTGTTCTATAAAAAAATTTTTATGCATTAATAATTTGATTTAAAATATAAATTAACTAGTTTACAATTACTTTTACAATGATTTATTTAAATGTCAACTTTTGGATAAAGACAACTTTTGGTTAACAAAGAGATTTGAACCAAAGCAAACTAAACTTGAAAAATAGAACTCTTCAATATTTCTCTAGTCCAGTCATGTTAGCATTCTTCGCAAATGGTTTGTTTTCTTCATTATTAGCAAAACTGCAAAAGTCGATCGGCCATTCCTACGGGGTTGTTGACATCCTAACCCGTTAACAAGTACCACGATATACTGTGTTGCTCTCAAAACCATCTCATATAGGGAGGTCATAAACTTTTTAAATTGTTCTTAATATTAAAAAAATTAGGATATATATAATCATTTTTGAAAAAGGATTAAAACGAATGTTTCCTCTAATTTCCAAAATCAAACTTCTAAATTACAGTTCAAATATCAAAGTGACTCCCTTGGAAGCATGTGGTAGTTCTCTATCATATGTGAGTGTAAAACTAAAGTAAATCCATCATCAGCCATATATATACTTGTTCAATCAACGTTATCATATGTATGCACGTATCATTCACTATTCTGTCACCCCAAGGAATCTACCACTCCATATGGGCTATTGCCTATTGACTCACAAGACTCACAACACAAAAGCTTCAGTAGTGCAATCGTTAACGCGTCTTAAAGGAGACGTTCTATTCCATTAATTTCTACCATTTACCTATGTCTTTGCTGACTCCATATACAAATATATAAAAAGGGTTTTTAGTAATAAAACCCCTCAACTAAAGATGGATTATAAAAAAAACATTCAACTAAAGATTTAGTGAAATAAACCCTCAACTTTAGTTCCGTTAATGTTTGTCATTCTCCGTCACGGAATTTTAGACGGAGGGTGACATATTAACATAACTAAAGTTGAGGGTTTATTTCACTAAATCTTTAGTTGAAGGTTTTTGTTACGATCTATCTTTAGTTGAGGAGTTTTATTACTAAATGTGGTTAATATTTTAAAATCTTTGTTATCGTTTATTTATTATTTAAGAATCTTACAACTGATTTATAAACATTGAACATAATTTATAATTTTTTTTATATTAGTTTATCAAAATTTTAACCTATTTATAAAGCTTAGTAAATATTTTAATATTTTTATAAACTATTAATAAGGTTTAACAATGATTTTATAAGCTTTTGTCTGCTATTTCTTAGGATGGAATAATACATGATTTTTTCTTGATATTACGAAGTAAAGCGATAAAGCTTTAAATATGAGGAACACATACAATTTTCTTATATTAATATTGTCAAATATCAAATAATTAAGATTTCTAAGTTATATAAAGTTGTAGGTAGTGTTGAGGATATTTAATTAGTTTAGAAATTCAACATTGTTACTTAAAATATGGCAAGGGCTTTTTCTTCTCTTTAAACAATTTCAGTTTGATTTCGTACTTTTTTCTGTTACAGAAGAAATAATGTAGGATTATTTTTCTTCTTTTTAATTTCTGAACCAGTATGTTATACTCCTACCATATTAATCAATAAGCTTTTCTTGTTTTATTTATTTACTTCATGTTTTTGTAGTATGGCAAATAATCACATCTTTAATCTTATAAAATCATCATTAAACTTTAATAGTAATTTATAAAAAGTATTAAATGAGAAAACATTATAAATAGGTTATAAAATTGATAAAGTAATATATAAAATATATAAATTATTTTCAATGTTTATAAATCAATTTTAAGATTCTTAGTACTAATGAATAAATGATAATAATAATTTTAAAATATTTAATCGCATTTAGTAATAAAACCTCTCAACTAAAAATGGATCGTAACAAAAACCCTCAAATAAAGATTTAGTGAAATAAACTCTCAACTTTAGTTTTGTTAACATATGTCACCATCCGTCTAAAATTTCATTACGGAGGGTGACAAATATTAA